AATAAATCCAGGAGAATATTCATCAAGTCATATTTGTCAGGACTTAAAATTTGATGAATATGGATTGATGAATATATGACGAATCCACTATATTTGTCAAAAATAACAATTCATTTTTTATATTCATCCCCATCTCTAATACAAACATTATAGCCATTTCAATTTTAAAAAGTAAAGGTATCTTCCAGCAAAACCTCAGAACCTATTCTTCTGGAATTTGGCATATTTAGGTCTCTCTCAGGAGAATTTCAACTATACATATTTTACATTCACAAAAAAAGAAAAGAAAAAAAAAGTTACAGACATTTTAAATTCCCATTATAAATCAATGGGAGGTATGAAGATCCAGATTTCCAGATTTTGATTCATATTTTGGTCTAGATGAAGTCAAACAAAGTTCATTTTTTCCCCTAAAGTGAATCAGGACTGAATCAAAATCTCCAGATGAGGATCTAAACCAAACTAAATCCTTGCATAAATGCTTTTATTGGTATAGTAAATTATATATATTGTTTGTATGCTGCCTTTCTTTCTGGAGTAGATTGAAGCAAACATACGTACTCCACTCCACATGATCAACTGTTGAATTCTCACTCTCATAACAAATTCCAGAATCTGATTTTCATAGTTCAGTCCTATTCAAGCTAAGTACTGTCATATAGTCATTCTGAAATCGTAAGGAATCTGGAAGGAATTTAATGAAGAGATCTGTATAGCCAACTGACCTTCGAGTTGAGAGGAGGGAAATTGAGGTCTTGACCTGAAGGTCAGAGTCTATACGGAAAGTGTACTTTCCAAATGCCATCTCTATTAGGATCTGCTGCGTATACCTGCTTGTTGGTAAATTATATGTTCCATAATTCTTGCCCCTAAAGTCCACCCTCTCATCGGACTCAGCAAACTTCCCCATTAACCTTTTGCCATCTTGAAAATTGACCATTTCTTTCCCCTTTTTGTCTTCCATCTCTTTGTCAGCTCCTGAACCTACAACACAACATTCGCCCTCCTTTTCTACATCATGACTAGTTATGTACTGTAACAGTCCTTTTCAGGGGCTTCAGGAGATGATTTTAAAAAATCAACAATGCTTCCTCATTACCAATAAATAACAGTTCCATATCCACTTGTCTGTTAAGCAAACCCTTCTGAACACTTTGGGACATACGTCTGAACAGACATAAATAGGACTACACATTACGGACACCTAAATCCCCAAGAAATGAAAGGAGGGAAAAACCCCAAGGTGCAGACATTGAAACTTCTGTAATGAAAGGAGGGAAAAACCCCAAGGTGCAGGCATTGAATCACTGGCAATAAGCTTTGGTTTCAGTGTATCAAAATGAACGTTCCTGAACCTTCTGGTCACCCTGGAAATGAGATAAATGGGATGATGTGGTTCTGTGCTGTTGGTATTTAGTGTACATGAGGTTGAAAGGTAAATGGCACATGCAAACACTTTTTATATGCATACATTCTACATGTTTGTATGTGAATGTGGTGGTGTGAAATACAATACAAGAGAATGGATACAAAAATAAATCACACATACACTTGAGAATGGATCTGGCCTTCTTGATTTATATTTGGTCATGCAATGAAACATTCAGATCTGAAGGTCTGTTCTTACTCCAAACATTACTGGACTTGTGAGAGACAATCAAACTGTTTTATTATGATTACAGGTCCTTGTCACCTGTTTGCTGCCCAAGCAGTTTGTTGAAGAATACAAGGAGAGGGCATTTTTAGTTATGGCCCTGGACTTTTGCAATGTGTTTTCTGGGGTAAAGAGCTGCCCCCTTTCAAAGAATCTAGGAGCGTTCTAAAGATCCACTTTTCCAAATTGGATTTTCCCTATTTTTTTTAAGGTTTTCCCCCCTAATTTTATATGTGATAGGCTTTCTTCTGAATTTTAATAGAGCTGTGCTCTGGCCCACTAATTTGAATGATGACTGAATAAAAGAACATAATGTGGGACTGGATTCAATCCGTGTCCTATGGGGGACCATGCAACCTGATGCCTCTGTTTCCCAATATTTGGAAAACTCTCCTCCTGTTTACTTGAATGGAAAAATCCAAATGGCTATAATTTGGAGGTTAAGAATGTTGGCCATCTGGAGACATTAAACAGAGGTCTACCATAAGATGTCATACTGCCTCGTGGCGCAGTGGTTAAAACGCTGTACTGCAGCTAAAACTGTGCTCACGACCTGGGGTTCAAATCCCAGGTAGCCGGCTCAAGGTTGACTCAGCCTTCCATCCCTCTGTTTCCCAATATTTGGAAAACTCTCCTCCTGTTTACTTGAATGGAAAAATCCAAATGGCTATAATTTGGAGGTTAAGAATGTTAGCCATCTGGAGACATTGGGTCTGCCATAAGATGTCATACTGCAGACATACCTTTTCAAATATGAAGATCAATTGCCTCCAAAGTTTCTTGCTTGTCTTCTCCCACCTCCTTACTTTTAAGTTGTTGCTCCTGACTGTTCACTCCTGCCAGTTCAGGAATGAAAATCCTTTCTACTGGAGTTTGAGGGTGGTGGGTGACACAGCTGTTGCTTCAGATATCAGTCTCTTTCCTGGTAAGGGAGTAAACTCTATGTGTGCTTACACCATATGCTATACTACTCGTCCCTCATCTAGCAGCTAAACTGAATGCTGTGAAAAGCAGATGCAAGATAATACAAAGCCCTGTGACATCAGAAACACTCCCAAGCATCACAGCTTTTAGAATGTTTGGAGGTGCTAGAGCTTCATTGGGGGTTGAAGCTGTCAATCTCTTTCCGTTTTCATCTCAGACCAATTCTGCATCTTCCTTATAAGGTATTATCATTTTCTCTTTCACTTTCCATGCTTTAAATTGCCCGACTTCACTTTTGGAAAAGATTTATAAACCCTGGATCCCAGAGTTTAGCACAGTGATTTGAAAAGCTGCTGATCTGCATATGATCTGCTGTGATATGTGGCAGACCCATGTCAGCACAAATAGATTTGGGTAGGGTTTTTCAGCATTTGTCCTAACCATCCATTTACTTGTTTTTGTACATATCTGTAGGTCTTGTATGCTTCCTTGTGAATAAATCACTATGAAAGCAACCTACACATTTTTCAGACAACAAATAGGTGACAGTGAGAGTGAGGGGGAGACACAGAAGTAAAGGGGTTCTAATCTCAACACCCCCCTTTCACACACACATTTTCAGTGAGGGTCATCTAAAGTGAACAAATTCTAGTAAAACAGATATTTTATCAGACTATAAATTCCTCACAAAAAATACATAAAAAAGAAGCAAACATTTTCCCTACCAAAAGCCATTTACTGTATGTGCAAGGGCCAAGCAGTGCTTAGAAAAGTTCCTTTTTTGGACTACAACTCCCACAGTCCCCAAGAGTCACTTTCCACGCTCAGTATTAGTCAAGATGAAAATATCTCCTTCCAAGTATTTCACATTTGAATCGAGTGCCCTCCCCCACCTTGCTGTTTGGTGCTGGAACACTTACCTCTACATGGACAAAAATGTTGTTTATTATAGCTGCTAATAATGATTATTATTTTGATGCTTCCCAAGGCAATCTGGATTAATGATACTGCACTGCCTAAGATCTCTACGATCAAGCACATCTGACAGCCACAAAAAGAAGAAGAAAATGAAGTGCTGCATTCCAAGAGGCAGACTGTTCTTGGCAAGAAAAAAACTAGTGACGTTGGGAAAGCCACACACATATAACCATGCCCTGACAGAGGATATGCCAATTGATATGAATATTCATGAGCACCAAGTCATTTAACTTCAATCAACTCATATTTTTAAAGCTCTGAGGCAGTGGTAATTTTCACCTTTACTATGAAGAAAGAGCAATCATGCTAGATTCTTCCACTAATGAGTTTAATATGACATTTGCCCCCTCCCTCCCCCCAGCAAAAAGCTTTCTTGTTTCCAAATAATATTGTTTTTGTTTTTGTGTAATAGAGTCTACACAATAGCATTCCCGGTGGGAAAAGCTTGCCTTGGTTTGATTTCTTTTTCCTTCTTCTGCACATGAGTGGTTAAATTATTGTTATTTTCAGATGTTGCACAGCTGCAAAACTGCATGGCATTGCTAGTGTCCTCATTTTTTCCAGCTCATATCCAAGACAGAGCTCCCTAAAATGTACATAGAATCTGGATGTTTCAGACTATCAACCAGGTACAAACATTTGCGAACAACAACCAAGCTACTTGTTACACCAGAGATGAAGCTTGCAGCTCAGCTTTCCTTTCAGTTTTGAAAGCTCCTGTTTTGGGTTGTTGGTGGTTCCATGTGGGAAATGTAGCCTTAATTACTTACCTTCCTATCACTAATTTTACAATTAATTAGGCTCCTGCATGCACAAGAATGAGACTCGATGATGGAGGGAATCCACATTTACATGCCTTTATCAAGTGAGGATAATGTTAGATTATGGCTAGTGGTTAGAACCTCAAGAACTACCAGGAATATGATGAAACTGCAGAAGTGCTAATTAATAATTATCAGTATGTTGTCATTGTTGCTTCTCCATGCCTAAATCCAAGGCACTAGTCGTATTCCAGTCTTGGTGTTGCATATGGCATGGTAAACTATGTAGTACATTCTCTTCTTCTGCCATCATCCTTTCCTTAATGACATGGTGTGTAATGTAGCCAGTGGGAAGCAGCACCCAAGTCATCCAATAAAATAAGATCACACATTTGAATGACAGAATGCCAAACTATATGCTGAAATACTGTTAAGAGGGAGTTCTTTAAGTGCTGGAAGTATCTGATTTTCATAGCAGGAGTTTTTCACTTTTTCCATAACTTGCAAATTAGCTTGGTTTTGTTTGTGATTGATGATTGGTAAGTATGACAACTCACTCATGAAAATCTGAGGCATATCTCTGGAACATACAAAGATTAGTGCCTAAGTGAGGACTATCTGCAAAATACAAGTTGGCTCAGAGAGGAATAGATCATGGAGGACATATCCCATCTTTCTGGGCTTGTCGCACTGATAAGCGTCCCCCCCCCATGAGCCACTGATCCTATATATAATTTAAACATTACCATGACAATGCAAGTTGGAAGAATTAAGACATAGCAAGAATATTGCATTGATAGAATACGAGCTGTTTCATGAATGCCCATATTTGCTAAATAAGCTGGGAGCTTGGAAGCAATAAAGAAGCAAAGGAAGAAGCTTGAACATGAACAGCCAGAGAGTAGGTAAGTGATATAAAGGAAGAACTGCAAGGTATCTTTAGGACTTGGACAAGGCAGAGTTGTCTCTGTGTGTCACAGCTTTCAAAATCTTATGGAAGGCAGCCTGAGTGTAGTTTTTTCAACAACTGACACATATGTCACGAAATTTGGACATTTGAAATTAATACTCTTGATGTCTCAAAGAAAATTCTGGATCAAATGATAAGTGTTCAATTTTAAAAAATGATTTAAGTTCTCACTATGAGATCTCTTAAACATCTGTGCAATGGACCTTCTAACCTTGACTCAACAGTAAAGGCCATGAACCAGTACTAATGTTGAGACCCATCTAAATCTGCTATGGAGACATGAAAGTGACAGTCTTGACCCCTTGGAGACTAGCAAGGTAATAAGACAAACATCATGATATGAGGTGATGAACAAAATTGCAAATTATCTTTTTAGGTCAAAAGAAAAGATTGCATCAACATGTACACTTAATTTTGTCATGTCTGGGGCATATCAAGAAATATTTTTCTGCACAAAAGACTTGGACATGCTGAGATTTTCCTGTGCATCAACAGACATTAAACATATGATCGGGTCTAACAGATAATAATTTGCAAATCAATGACAAATATGCTGTATGCATGATTTGCCTGCTGTCTGAAACCATTCATTATCATCAACCTGCCCTTCTCAAAACTGGGGAAGAATGAGGAGGAACAGGGGACAAATTCAGATGGCTTCCCACACAACTCAGGGCCTAACATTTAAAATATGGATGAAGAATGTATAATTATTAGATTACAATTATATTGCCCTCCAGTAAGGCAGATGAGAGCTGAAGTTCAATAGTCTTTGAAGAACTAAATTCCACCCATCTTTGATTTACACCTTTTTTTTTTCCTGTAGGTTTTTACCAGTCATTTGAATAAGCCCCTAATATGTCTAAATGATATGAAACTAGAAGTTGGAAAGTAATTGTTTTGAAATACCGCTCCCTCGATCCTTGAGACAGCATGGTCACTGCCAATGATGCCTTGAGGTTTCTGGAACTGCTGTCCAAAAATGCAACTTTTTCAAGGGTTTTTTGGTTTTTGTTTTGTTTTTTGCTTTTGGTAATTACGTACTTTATTGTTTGAACTGAAAGTAAATTAATAATATGAACAATATAAAAAAAGCTCACTACTTTCCAGGAAGTGTTGCAATTGATTGATTGATTGATTGATTGATTGATTGATTGATTGATTGATTACATTCAAAGAGGAATTCTCCACAAGCCAGACTTCTGAGGAGAAACTTGTGTTGTGGCAGGAAAAAGACCAGAGATACCTTTATGGCTATACTTAGTAAGTTCCCTTCGGACGTTTCAAACAAAAGAATTGAACATGAGTTGTGATGCCAATAGCACTTTCAACCAAAAGGCAAAAATGGCTTGTTGGGTTCCATATTTAAAAACAAAAAAGATCTTGGTCTCAGTAATACCAGACATATTTCTTTAGTCAATCTTAAAGTTGCAAAAAATAAAAGCTAGGGAAGAAGACTTTGATGGTGGTAGCAAATGAAAAGACATTTTTAGCACAGAGCTTTAGAAACCATGAAAGAATTTCTTTGAGAAGAGTTGAAACAATCATTCGAAACTCATTTTAGGGAGGTTACAGAAGTTCAAACAAGATTAGCAAATCCATTTTTGTCAGATGCTGGGTCTGATTTGATTTCTTTACTTGCAGAAGTGTAACCAAGACAAGATGCCTGAGTCTTTGACCCAAGGTAAGGATAAGTGGGGGGCAAAATTTGCTGCTGGAGGGCACAAACCTGTCCACTGATACCTGCTGCAGGAAGGGCACATATAACATCTCCAGCTACTTCTCCCTGGGTGAAAGGAAATGCAAATAGGTGGGCTTAGTACAGAACCAGTGTGGTCATCACATACTCAGATACAGGTGCCCCTGACCCCATTGTACATGACACAAGTCATAGCATGAGATGTGTTCGTGTTCAGCATTCCACCCCTCTCCCCGCATATGCCAATCTCTTGTATTCCAAGCTTAACCAATAGAACTGTGAGGCACCAGATCAGGTTACAGCTTTAGTCACAAGTAGAACCCATTTTCTTTTCAATAGTTTCAAAAGTGGGTATATGGCTCTTATTTTCCTCTTGACATAAGGCTGAGAGAATATGTCTGTCCTTAGGCCAGCTGTTGTCATAGATCAGCAAAGACCTGAAGCTCAAAGTCCCAGTCAAGAACTCTAATCATTACACTTTACTATACACTGGCCTAATCATTACACTTTACTGTACACTGGCCTTGCATCCATCTAAACCAGGCTGATGGGTGCATGGGCTATATGAGAATGGCTTCCTCAGATGGTCTGAAAGCTCATGAAGATAGATGATGAAGACTTTCTCAGATTCCCCAGGACTTCTGGGGATTTTTCCTTTTCCTGTCTGGGCATGCAAGATTACCTTGAGTAAATAGTTCATCTGATACTATTTTCTTCTTCTCCTCACTTCTTGAATGATAGAAGTCCCTCATAAATTCAACATTGTTCTGTGTCTGAAATGTGAAAGCTTTAAAACACTAAAATCCAGTTTTCTGGAAATTAATACTTAGAATTTACTTATTTATATCCAGCTTTTCCACTAAAAGATAGCACTCAGAGTAGATAAACTGCTTAGAAGAATAAAAACAGATAGAACTACATTCAGCTTTTTTTTTTTTAAAAAAATGAAATCATATACCAGTCCCACTGTAAAACCATTAACATATAGGAAATATATCAAAAGCAATTAAAATCAACAAGGATACAATTAAAACTATATCATGGAGCAGCTTATACATCATATGCCAGTCTAAAAATTTATGTTTTTGGTTCCTTCTTAAAATCATTCATAGTGGAAACAGATCACATTTGAAAGGAAGGGCATTCCATATTCTGGGAGCCACACAGAAGAAGGCCTTCTTCCACATGCTTGTCAGGTGGGCCACTGAAGCTTTATCATTTTGATTGACTAATACTGGTAGTACTGTTACTGCTGTATATATACTCGTATACTTGAAATTGGAGACAGGCATGAACAAAAAAAATCAGGAAGTTCATGAAAAATTGGTTCGGGCTCATCAAAACTGATGAACCAAAACAAACTGAACCAATTTGACGAACTTCCTGGTTTGTCTGAGCCCTGTTCACTTCCCACTGCCCCTGTCTCCTGATTACTGCTGCTCCTGTACTGCTGCCGCCTCCTCCTCTTCCTTCTCTGCCACAGGCATCATGTTTAGCTGCCTGGCTTCCCTTCTGGAGCTGGGCCTGCACATGTGCCCACTTATTATGCCAATGGACAGTGGCCTGACTTCCATAAGCTGGGCCTGCTACTTCTGCACATGTGCTGGGGTCCCAGTTGACCAGAGAGCTCATCTGGGACCAACCTTCCCTCTAAACTGGGAAGCTGGGTGGCAGCCCAGCCACGTGGCCCTCGACCAGGGCCACAAAGTCCTGGATTGCCCATTTGCAGCAAGAACAATGAGGGAGGAGAAGGAGGAGGTGACAGGACCAGGTAGGGAGGTGATGGGGGCAGGCTGTGGGGCTGTAAATGGGTGATCCAGCATCACATGGTGCTGTATTGCCCATTTGCAGCCAGAATAATGATGGACGAAGAGGAGGAGGCAGAGCCAGGTAGGAAGGTGGCCAGGCAGTGGGAAGGGAGCATGGGCAGGCTTTGGGGATGCAAATGGGTGATCCAGTTCTGTCCAGTGCCAGATTATCCATTTGCAGCCAGAATTATGATGGAGGTGGAGGAGGTGGTGGCAGGAGCAGGGAGGGAGACAATGGGGGTAATGGGAAAGGGGCAAGTGGGTGGCAAGGGGGTTGAAGGTTTAGTTTCTCCTTTCCCCAAGGCATGAATTTCTTTTTTAAAAAATGAACTAGTTTGTGGTTCATTTTTTAAAAAAATCAGAAAGTTTGTGGTTCATGGTTTGTGGGTAGGCATAAAACATGAACCAACACGAACCACCATTTTTCTGGTTTCTGCCCGTCTCTACTCAAGATTAGTATGGCCTCCTTCAAGAAAGATATGCCCAAATCATTACACACATAACACCATTTTGGTTCTCTTGTCATGATTTCTTTGTAAGTATTCTGTTATACACATATTGAAGGATTTTTTAAGTACAGGAAATACACTAACAGAATTGTATCATTAATTACCTGGCTAATTACTAACCAAATGGGGGGGAGATAGTTTCCTTTTACTCCTTTACCCTCTGCCTACAGATAGCTCCCTGTTGATTTGGACATGGGATTTCTATGCCCTACTAGTAAATTTTTAGCCAGTATTTTGGGGCTCATTACGGTATATTTCATACAGATAACTATGCAGCAGGAATGACTATTTTTGCCAAGTGTATAATCAGACAGTCTTCCACAATATTGTGTCCACTGTCCAACAACTGTATGAGTTAAATCAAAATGAGGGATGGGCAAAAAGTCCTTGTTATTTCTTCTGGTTTTCCCAAATGCTCAAAAAACGCATGTTAAGCAAGAACATATCACACCATCCATAGGAAAACTGCCATCTAGAACCTCCCCTTTAATCCATATTGAAGGCAGCAGGAAGAATAAGGTGACTTCCTCAAGTAGCAAGAATTGGGGATTAGAACTGACAGCAACCTGGCAGTTGTTCCAAAACCTCCGATGGTTTTCTCTGTTAGAGGACAGATCTGTGAACACAGCATGGCCTCACCTGGCCCTTCCACATTAGCAGCGTGGGACACACACATAAAACAGTAACACCTCTCCCCATTCTCCAAATTTGCAGAAACTTGTTTTCAGTTCTTTCAGTTTATCACATCATCATCTCCCTTGCTTCTTCGTTCATGAACAAGTCTTCTTGGTTTTGTATTGCTGAATGTTTGGCCCTGAAATGAAAAATCTCCTTGGATTACCACAGTTGACAAAAGCTGTCTTGGTGTCATGACAATGTGAACTGACAAAAACAAGCAACTGGCAAATATTTTCCCCACCTCCACCTTGGTATCACATTGATAGATCTCTTCTTCCCCATAAGTGGAATTATCCCATACATCCCTGATGGACTGCATCTCTTATCAGTGTTCCAAGCAGAGGAATGTGGAACTTGAAGAGATCTGAAACAGGATCTGAGCACTGTTGCAATAATGCAGGTGCTCTACAAATTGATCAATTAGGTATGCATTGTGATGGTCAGTGTCAACAGGTCCCAACTGACAGTGAATAGAACTAAAGTGGTGCCTTACAAGACAAGTGCCTCGCAAGACAAAAAACTCGCAAGACAAATGGTTTTGTCAATGGGGGGGGGTGTTTGTTGATGACTCACAAGACAAATATTCCTATGGCCGTGCTTCGCAAGACGAATGTTTTTCGTTTTTTGTTCCTGCTTCATGTTTGTTGATTTTTAAATGTTTTTCTATGATGTTTAAAAAGTTAAAGTTTTTTGATAGAATTTTTTTTAATCATCTGCCCAATATGTATGACTTTAAAGAGCACTGAATAAACCCTCTGTAAACCAAATTTGACTTTGTTCTGACTTTTTTTGCCCGCAGGATTAGATTAATTAGATTTCAATGCATTCCTATGGGAAAAATGCATTTTGCAAGATAAATTTTTCAGAAGACAACATTAACTGCGGAACGAATTAAATCCACTGTATATGCACATACATTTTCTTACTATATATGTAGGAAGATGATAGCATGGAAAAGTGGGGAACTTGCCACGTTTTCTCCTTTTTAAAATAGTTCTGTTCCCCCAGCCCTTTGTAAGCACTCATTAGCCTCTTCAGTGGTATTTGTTGAACCCAACACCATTGACAAAGTGACCCATAATAGAATAGGTCAGCCTGAATTAAAGAAATGGAGAACTAGGGTATCATATCTAAATTAATTTCCTGACTTTGCATTTAGCCTTTTCTGCACTACCAATTAGGAAAATGAAAGATAATGCTGCTGGAAACCGAAAGGGACACTCTCAAGGCTGAAAGTCTTGTAAATTAAACAGACCTTGACAGTTGTCCCATTTGATTGCATTTCTTCATGTGTGGAACTTCGTGAAATGACTCTTAGAAGAATGCAAATTGAAGCCCTGGTAAGACTGTACTTCTGTAACAGAAGTACTCCATCTTTTGTGGCTATATTCAATATTTCTGACATCTACAGAGGCAAGCATCTTGTCCTCAACTGAAATAGGAGGTGTACATCATGTATGAGGGCTTACTTGTGCACCCACACTGGAACTGATTCCATTTGTGATTCTGTAGAAATTGCTGCTTTGAAGATGACTCTTAAGAGTGAGGCACACGCAGAAAAGGAACCCAATTGCTACATTTGAGGATGTGAGACTGGATGACACACACCAAGAGAAGACACGAGCACAAATATGGGAGTGAACATCGCTGAATATAAAAAGTCTGGTGTACAATAGTTAATAAATCAGCATGGACCCTACCAACAAAGGAAGAAGCTGTGCAAGGTCTCTGCCCACCTTTTCCATGGTCAGGTAATGTGCCACCACCATACTTCCATTTACCAAGATCAGGCAGATGGGGTCCTTGCTCTTCACTGCTAACCAACATGCATAAGTGTGTGCTGAAGCAGTTACTGCTCCAGTGCTGTTAAACCTGAGTTGATGTAGCAATGCAACGTTTTCCTTAAAGAATGAGACGAGACCTATTTTGGGAAACCAGAACAATGCTGCAGGTGCTGGGTGGCAGAGTTCCACATTCCTGTTTAGGAGAAGCAAATCTGGACCACTCCTTTTTCTGTATTTCCTTAAAGGTTTTAAGAGTGCTGTTGCCCTATAGATACTACAGCATCTTCATTAATCTGGGATTGTGGAGGCTGAGCTACAATTCTTATGATCCTTGGGGAAAATGCTCCTTGTAAATGTGTTTCTAGTATTGATTTTAATTACCATTCACATGGGGAGGAGGGGAGGGAGAGAGACAGAGAGAGGTGAAATATTTTTTTTTAAATAATAAATACTGGAGTTCCCAGTTGCCCTTCCTTAATCTCCCTCCCTCTGCCCAGTATGTGTGTGTAAAGAAATAGGCTGTAAGGATAACATGTAACATGCCAGCCTTAAAATGTGATTTTTATTATATTCTTTTCTACCTATATGGACAATTTTTGTTAATGTCTAAAATATGAGGATCACTTGATAGTTGCAAGTTTTGCTTTTTCTCCCTCTGGTATTTATGAGGGCAATCACTCTACTGAAGTATCATACTTTTTTCTCAGTGTTTTAATGACCATTCTTCATCTATAGCTTTAATGTAATGAGGGGAAAGATACCTTGGAAACAAACACATAGTTCTTTTAAGAAAATGGTGAGGGCTCTGTTTTATTTTTATCAAATTTGGAAGTTGTTTAGTACACACCACTAGAACTAAAATAAAAGTACCACCAACAAAAGTGAGCAAAAGTGGGTGAGGGGAAGGTTGTGTACCTGGTCTCATGGCCCCTCGTATATGTCCCAGCTCCTTGTTAAATAGCTGCAATTAGCTGTAGCAAGTTGCAAGAACTTTATATGAATATAATGTCTCCACCAGTAACAGTAACATTAAGATAGCAGTGAAAGTGAGAACTCAAAGTAAAATATGGTGGCATTTTAGGTCCCACTGATTTGCTTTTGGCCCCACCTACCACAGAAATGTAGCTCTCTAAGAATTTATCTGAAATAGAATTCAGCCCTTGGGTAATAACAAGCCCCTTGCTCTATTTGGAGGACTCTTCAATCTAAAGCTAGAGTGGTCCTCACCCGACCAGATAGGCGGGGTATAAATTAAATAAATAAATAAATAAATAAATAAAGAATTATGAGAAGTGTGTTCAAGGGCCTTGAAATTTCTAGTCAACAGCTAGCATCTGGACAGGAGACTGAAAAATAACACATATTGCTTCATAATAGGCTTCCCTATTATGGTAAGATGTGCTCCATTTCTATTTGAATTATAGCAATTCTTTCTAAATTTGTATTGTACATCAGGTGTGGACAGCTGTGACTTTCCAGATGTTTTTTGACTAAAACTCCCAGAACCCTCACTGTTTTGTAAGAAGTCTGACACAGATGGGATTTTCATGTCAAAAACATATGGAGGACAACCATTTTCTACCTCAGCTGTTCATACAAATCATCATATTCCAGTTTTATGCAAATACATATCCTCTTTTGTCTTTACATTGGATGACAGTGAGTAGCTATAATGAGGAGATACATGGGGGAGATACTCAAGACTTTAAGTTTGTAGATCATGTGTAATATAAGTGAACACATCTGAAAATGAAATGGGCAGGCAATAGGATGATTCTGCCAGTCCTAGTCCAGACAAGATAATTTTTTATTGTCTGGGGAGTTTGATTGTCTGAGGAAGTGGACTTGTACATGAAAGCTCACATTAAAATACAGCACTTAGTCTTTAAGGTGCCACAATGTCTTCTTCAGTTTTTTATTTTTCTTTTGTATTTGCCTGATACGGTAGCACAGATAACCACAGCTACTTCTACTAAAATGTTTGTTTGTTTGTTTTTATCTAACATGTACACTAAATTCAGGGACATATGGAGTGGGTGAGTGCATGACAATCACTTGAATATTCACCCTCTCTATGTGTATCGTGTCATTTTTGCACTTTCAGTAAGCTGTTTCATAAATGAAATTTCCTATGCTCAGTGGCTGCCAGATAATGTCAGCAGATTCCCCATCAGACAACCACACACATTTATCTTCTCTGCAGGAAGCAACACTGCTTCCGAGATGGTCAAACAGGCAGAATTCTGGCTGGCTGAGTTCTGATTTGCCTCATTTTTTCTGTATTAATAATATGGTCAGAACACACCTATAGATTTGGCACATAGCGGTGGCTCTCTCCAGTATTGGTCTTGATGGCCTGGAGGCAACAGTTTTGCAAGATCATAGGTCCATCAGTAAGCACAGAAGATTGTGACATTGCGTTTTTGGTAAATATTTCCAAAACAAAGTGACACAATTTCCCCCTTAGTTGCCCTGATCAAACACTATAAGGTAGCTATTCCCAACATGGAGAGGACTATGCTGTACTTGCCTGCTATATAGATGATGATATCTCAGGGGAAAAGAAGAAATTGCAAACTGTATTTGGAGACCCAGTGTGCTGGCCTAAGGATCAGGAGACCTGAGTTCAAATCTGGTAAAGTCTTCCCAGAGGCTTGTGTTCGTGAAGGCTTTCACGGACAGGATCTAATGGTTGTTGTGGTTTTTTCGGACTCTTTGGCCATGTTCTGAAGGTTGCTCTTCCTAATGTTTCGCCAGTCTCTGTGACCGGCATCTTCAGAGGACAGCACTCTGTGCTCTGGTGTAGTTGGCTTGGGAGTGCCAGTATTTTCCCAGAGGCTTACTGTGCAGAGCCCAATGAGAAAAGACTACCACACCCACAATCCCTTGTAACTTTTCCACAGAACAAATATGACTCCCAAAATCTGAATTCACTAGCTGTAGGAACTTGAACTGTCAGGACTTTAATTTCTTGATTAAAGCCTGCCAAAGTCTGGCTTGGGAACTTCCTGCAGACTTCTGGGAGCATTGGTCCACGAATTCTGAGCGTGCGCCAGCTGGTGAGTGGGGGATCCAGCCGGGGAGGCAGGGGAAGGGAACCCATTGCACCTGTGGTGCTGCACATACGAAATTCTGAACCAAGTTTCGTGTCCGTCTTGAGTTTCAAACCAAGTAATTAAATAACTCACTGTAAGTGCGATAAAGAACCCCTATGGGCCAATATTGAGTCTGCAGATATTTCTCCATCTCCTCTTTCATGGAAATGGGCATCAAGTACCTGTAGATGCTTTCAGACACCAGCCTGAAATCTTTATGCCTCTGATTTTCTCAGTCTCTCTCAAAAACAGAATTTGTTATTTAAAAATAGGTGCGGACAGATTACAATGTTCTTGCCTAGGAAGAACAGAAGTCTTTCTTTTGCTCTCTTTTAGATATTTCCTAGCTATTGAAGAAAAAAATTTCTAACAATAGTTCTGATGGAAATGTATTGTCAGGTTATCAGTAACAATGTTTTCTCAAGTCCAGGTACAGCCTCAGGCAGCCTTATCTGCAGAAGTCTGATAGGAAGCACAACTCAATACAATGAGCCAAAAGAACATTCAACCTACAGTATTTATGTTTTAGTTTTGTTCAGACAGAGGCTACAGTTGTTAATTTTTCTCCATTAAAGAAAGTACCTCTACAGTTTCCTTTCAAGATGTTCCTTAACTTACCTTGCATTTGTGAAAGGATCTTATTTGGAAATAATTAGAACCTGAGGAAGCAAGCAAACACTTCAGTGGACAATGCTAGTCTTTAAACCAGGTTTGTCTCCTCCTCTTGGGAAAACCGACTAACCTTATGCAACCTTTGAAGTATCCCTAGAAATATTTATTCTTGGTCCAGAAACAAATGCTAGAGATAACCCATGCTTAGAAAAAGAGTATCCTTAAGTAATTAAAGTATCTGAGTCTCACTACAGGAGCTTCTTTCACCTCCAGAGGTATGCAATTTAACTTAATTTGTTTATTAATTGGCCTTCAGGAGGACTTAAGTATATCTTTGCAATAAGAATATGCTTTCAGCTCTAATTATGGGCTACCTTGAATGTCTGTCTCCAACCGCAGTCAGCTGTGAAACGTAAGTTTTGCTTCTCTCTCACTGACTAGATACCACTACTCAAGGTGAAGTGTCTGATGTCTAGTAGACTCCAAGAAACATTAAAAAATATAGGCCGTTATTCAAATGAACGTGTTTGTGTGGTAATCATGCAAATGGTTTGCACATTGTGGTGGGGTGTCCATCACACAACTGATTCTGCAACCAGTGTGTGACCAGTCACACATGACAGATATCCCATCGAGACCATTTGCACTACAATCATTGTGGGTGCAGTTTTTCAACAAGTTTTTGGCTGCAGTTTTAACCATTAGTGGTAACTGGGAGCCTAAATATTGTGATTCAGGTAGATTATGCACGTATACAGTGGTGCCCCGCAAGACGGGTGCTCCGTTTGACGACTAAATTGCATCATGACGAACTTTTTTGATCTCAAAACGATGTTCCCTATGGGGGAATTTCGCTTTGCAATGATCAGTTCCCTGCTTCGGGAACCAATCATCGCAAAGCGATGATTTTTTAACAGCTGGTCGGCGGTTTCAAAATGGCCGCTGGGTAAACAAAATGGCCGCCCGCTGTGTTTTCGCACGGATTCCTTGCTGCACAGGCAACAAAAATGGCCACGCTATGGAGGATCTTCGCTGGACGGTGAGTTTGAAGCCCCTAGGAACGCATTAATCTGGTTTTAATGCGTTTCTATGGCCTTTTTAAAATCACATCACGACGTTTTCGTTCTACAGCGATTTCGCTGGAACGAATTAATGTCATGATGCGAGGCACCACTGTATTCTCAGCAGAATAGCATCAATTAAAGAGAAGAGGTGCTCCAGTAAAAAATGTTCAGCCAGTGATCACAGAGAAGTGTTTAGACAAGAAACTAGTTGGTGCCACAAGACTTCTGGTTTCTCTTGTGCTACAACAGACAACACAGCTAGTGACTAAATTACCTTTAGTGTTTAGACCTAGACCATTTGCGTATTAGCTGAAATCCTGCTGCTTAGGGAAGTAAGTCACAACTAGAGTAAGGCCCGTTGACTCAATGGCACTTATGTGTTGGCTCACCAAATCCCCATTGATTCAATGGGCCTACTCTAGTTGTGACATACAGTATTACACTAAATAACAGGATTTCAGCCACTGAGGAATGGGTCACAACTGGTGGAAATTCACCCACCCACAAATTGCTAATACCTTAGCCAATCCAGGGCTTCTCTTGCATGGAGGATTTTTATGTGCATGTATTTGTAACGTACATGGAGCATCTGCTCACATTCACTGATGTGGTGAGCTGCAGATGAAAGCACTAGTTAAAAAAACATTTGAAGCTATAGGCTCTATTATCCCCACAAGTGAGGTAAAAGAAGTAAGATCGGCACTGCTTCTTTATTGCACCAAATTGAGAGGGAAATGCTGGTTCCTTTTTCATTTTGAAAAGAACATTGATTTTAAAATCAAATACATTTACTGTTTGTTTTGCCTTTGTACTAAGTGGCATTTTAATTTGTTATTTCTTTTTGCATTCATTTAATTTTCACAGTTATATTACTTTATTTATTGATTAAAAATACATTTTATGTATGATACAATGTGATAAATCAAAAGCATCAATTATTTTTGCATTCCTTTCCTTTCAACCACAGGGTCCATCATAACCTCTGTTAGGAGAATCTGGTTGTGCAATGGAGCATCCGAAGCTGTCCGTCCCTGGCTCTCTGTACAGTCCAATAATAACCTTAACATTAGAAGAAACTTTAGAAAATTTCCACTGAGTCATGAGTCAACTAAATAACAAAACAAGATGCCCCTGTGCATTTTGGGGAGCTTCATCTATGGCCATTCATGTTTCTGACCCACATCTCTGATTAAAAAAAAAAAGACAAAATACTGATATGCAAAGGTTGCCTACACCTGTGAAAACTAATTTGCTTGCAAAGTGTTACAGCTATAGATTTTTTTCCCTTTCCCTCAAATAATTTTCTTTGCTTTTTGTTATGAACCCACCCTAGTCAATGGAAGCATCAATAACTCATCTGCTTTGGATTCTGTCAACTTTCATTATATATTTCTTTTCAAATATGGATTCTGGCTTTTGATTGCTTCAGAATGTACTTCAAGCACTACAAGGGATGCTTTCTGAAAATCCTTCCATTTTCAGGCTACACTAGAGTAAATTGCTTGAATTAGTTTTTATGTGACAAGTAAGGCTACAGATCAATATGCTATCCTATAGACAAGATGCATCAGCTTCCACAACTCAACATCCACTGTTTGGCATGCACAAAACTTTCCTAAAATTGTCAGGTTTAATGGATTCAGAAGAAATTACATCCCAGCCATATAAAGTGCAACATATCAAACTCCATCATACAGTGAGTGGTTGTACTTTCACCGATACTCACCACCCACTAGTTCATGACGATGGTTACTTGAGACAGTAGTCAGCATTACAAGCACTCCTTTTGCACCTTAAGTTGACTCCTTCTCTTTCAAGTTCTGACATCATTCTTTGAGAAACCCAACAAATAATGTCATTAGCAGGTGTGGAGAAGCAGTTCAGACTTTACATGAAAAGGAGAAGTTTATTTGTGGACCAAGCATTTTGCAAATTACAGCTTGTGGCTATATTAGGTTGTCATGGAGTGATGCCTGTATCTTTCCTCTAGCCAAGTCCACTGTTACAGTTCTTGCTTGCTTCTGCTCAGGCTTCTTCACATTATAGTAGAGTTGCCTAGGAAAGGGGAAGAATTTTGCATGGTTTGGTGTGTTTTTTAATAATAGCTTCTTAAAATTCTTCATAAGGTCATCAGAAAGATTTCTTCATGTTCTCCCACACAAGCTGATCCAAACATAGAAAGTTGCAACTATGGTAACTCAATTGAATCAATAGAACTTATGGAGGAGTTGACTTACCCAATCTCCACTGATTCGATGATTCTACTCTTGAGCAACTTTCTGCTCTAAGCAATAGGATGTCAGCTATTCTATTTTAACTTTTTCTTGTTTCTTAGTGGTGGTGTAAACTCCCTTCAGTCTCATTTCTAAGAAAAAGGCAGCAAATAAGTAAAATAAATTCATACCAACAAAGATTCCAAATGTGGAGAGAGCAAAAGATATATACCTTTCTATTTAGTCTGAAGACATTGAATAATTAGCTCTGAAAAGCAGGTTTGAACATCTTTGTTCAATCATCTTTGTGGTGCTCAGTTGAATTGAATCAAACTAAATTTATTACAGTCAAAGATTGGCACCTTAGTGTCCAATGAAGATTGCTGGTAAAGGTACAGGTGAAGGTTCCCCTTGACATTTTTTTAGTCCAGTCATGTCCGACCCTAGGGGGCGGTGCTCATCCTGTTTTCAAACCGTAGAGCCAGCGCTTGTCCGAAGACCATTTCCATTGTCACGTGGCCAGCGTGACTAGGGAACGCCGTTTTACCTTCCCACTGAGGTGGTACCTATTTATCTACTCGCATTTGCATGCTTTTGAACTGCTAGGTTGGCGAGGAGCTGGGACAAAGCGACGGGAGCTCACTCCTTTGTGTGGATTCGCTCTTACGACTGCTGGTCTTCTGACCCTGCAGCACCGAGGCTTCATTTTCTTTTTCCCCCTTTTCTCCCCCCAACCTCATTTCATCATATTATTGAATTTAATCAGCTCAGAAAGCTGAATGATTTTGATATGAACTAACCAATATTGGAGAATGTTTTAATGAATCTGATAGAAAGATATTATTTTCTTTGAATTTGGGCAAAAGTGAGCCTGACAGGTTTGCCCATTCCTGGACTAGTCACTTGTGAAATGTAATGTTTTCGGGGACTTTGACAGACATCCAGAAATTCAGCCAGACTGGTGTCATATCTCAGAAGGGTTTTGTACATCTCCAGGTGGCAATCTGACAAGGCAGCTGGCTGTATTGTCCCACCTTCCTTCCTAGCTTCTTCACACTTATTGAACTATGGCCCGCATTGCTGCCAAGTTGTGTGTAAGTATGGCACATCCATTTTCAGTTAAATGCCCAGTCATCAGAAAGAAGGGCTCATTAATTCTCCCTCTCTGTCTTGCTGACATGTCATTCTGTAAGAAATGAGCACTGCACAAACCCATTGTTGATATGGTGAGCAGGAGAAGGTGCAATTTTTCCAGGCTCCTGAGCATTCTTATCTTCTGGCAAAGTCTGAAGAAGCAGCAACAGCCCTGCTCATCTAGAATAATAATGAATATGCAACAGTGATTTCAATTTACTTTAAAATGGCACAACGGAAATACTTTTCAGAATAACTTCTTCAAAGTGCTGCCTTCCACAGCCTGTTAAAAGTCCTTATTAAGTTTCAAGTTTGTCCTAGACAATGTTGTCTCATCATTAAAACTCTTGATAAGGGGGGTGATCAATAAAGCATATCTGTTTTTTTTCTGTGTTTGATGGATCCCAAGGGCCAAGGGAGAAGCTGCCTGGCATCTTGAAAGAGATTCACATAGGGACACTATATCCGACACAATTAGTTACTCAAATACAGTAAAATGCATCGAGCATCGTTGTGAAATAAATTATGTATGTATTACTCCAAAGAACATTGGTAATTTATGAATTTCTATTAAGCCTGTTTCACTCCATTTTTATTAAACTTGAGAGCTGTGACCTATCTAGAGATTCCAGTTAAATTAAGCTAATTAAAAATTAGAAACAGTGAGGTGGGGAAATGGGATGCATGGTTAATGCACATTTAAATTAAGGAACAGAAAGGAATGGGCAGCATTCTTTTGAAATATTTAAATGCAGCTCTTCTTCCCGATGCAATGTAAGTTGCATCTCTATTCACAGGCAGTAGGCCCATGTTTCGGGAGATGTACGGGCCCCCTTTTCTCTTGCTGCCACTCATTTAGGTTTTTTAGAAATGCTCAGATAGTCAAGTAGGAGCTACCAAAGTCACCTTGACTGTAAGTTCAGGCAAAATTCAGTTGCACACTGGCAGTGCACAGAACCTTACTGAGAAATGATGTTGGTCATATCCAAGTTAAATGTGGTAACTAGTGGCCCCAGATGAGATTTAGATCTCCATTCACTTTTTTAAAAAAATGTATCCAGATGGTTCATTTGGGGCTGTATAAATACTGGATAGTAGATGCATAGCTTAGATGCAGATGCTAGTCCTCGTGATCAGCATGTTTATATCTCAGTTTACCCTCATTCCCAGCCATAGATGGATGGTATGCAAAGTTGATATAAGAAAGGTCTGGGTGCCTGGCTTGGCATGTGGATGATGATGATGATGATAATGACTTTTCATTTAAAAAAATTGTAATCTTGTTTTATTTACAATATTTCTTTTTAAAAATTACAGTCCATTTCTGACAGTGCATATTATTTAAATCTATATAGGGATATAGGAATAAAATGCTCAGATGGATGCTAGAATAAGTACACTTTTAGAGGCATATTTGTGACAGACACAACAGTGGGCCTTTCTGGCTGCCTCTCAGACTGTAGAACTCCCTGCTGAGGCAGGCTAACTTAACTCTCTCTCTAATGCTCTTCTACTATCTATTTAGGTAGGACTTCAGCAACTGATTGACAGCTAGGGAGAGGGGCACTTAGATAGCACTTCTGTTGTTATGGTCATGGTGAGTATTAATGGAAATTTATTTTAACTACATTCAATTTTCAAATGATAGCTGGTTTAATTATTTTAATACTTGTACTGTACTTGTACTGTATACTTATTTATTTTATCCCACCTCTACCCTATCTTGCCTTCAAGGAGCTCAAATGAACAGATATAGTTCCTTTCCTTTTTTTAATTATTAAAATAGTACTATGAGGTAAGGAAAAGAGAATGACTGGTCCCAAGGTCACCTGATGAACTCCATGGATGAGCAGGGTTTTGAATCCAGATCTTCCAGGTCCTAGTCCACTACTCTAACCACTAGACAACACTGGCTTCCACATCCATCAGAAATACTAGTTCTGCATTGGTGTTGCTACAGCTGGGTCAAATCACATCCATTCCATACAAACATGAAGAGCCTAGTTAACACTATTGATTGTGGGGGTTCATAAAATTGCTTTACACTATGCTAGGTAATTTTTATGCATTAAAATATCAATATGTAGTGTTACTTAAAGTATCACTGTATGGATCCTTTCTGTGCCGAGAAGACTTCTACCTTCAAAGCAAACTTCAGAAAGAATTGATTTGTCAGTTTTCCACTTGGGTTCTGTTCTCTGCAAACTGTATTTCTAATGAAATTGAAATCAATAAAATGGTTTACTTCTCTGTTTGTACTCAAGGCTTCAGCATTGTCACAGACTGTGAATGTCAGAAGACTCACCAAAGCCTTAATGAGAAAATACTGAAAAATCTTGAAACAACATGGTCTGAGTTTGTGAAATTCTTTTCCCTTCATGCTCCTCTTCCCTCTTAGGCAATCAGATACCAAGTGGCATGTTGCTGTATCAAATTGCTGTGAATGAGAAATAGAAGAAGGTAGTTTTAACCCTGGCCTTAAATTCTTACAGCGTGTGGTAGAAGGTAATGAGAAAAATACGAATCTTGGCTCGGATCAGATTGAAAAGACCTGGAAAACACATGAGAAAAGCAGTTCATTAAGAGATAAAATCCCACTAAACATCCAATAAGTTGTAATACTATCCACTCATATAAATTAACTTATTCTTGACTTTCCTTCATTTGCTTAGTGAATGAATGCACAGCTCTGCTTTGCACCCAGGACTTAAGTTCATTGATCTAGTGTTAGTAGGTCACAACAAGCTACAAATACAGGGCTGGCCTTACCATTAGTCAAAGTGAGGTGGTCACCTCAGGCAACTGATTTGGATATCATGAAGAGTTAGCAAATTGTTCATTGTT